GCGGCCGGGCGGGCAGCGGCCGGGGAGGCCCCGCGTAGCCCCTCGCTTCTGCTATACCTATTATATATATATATTTAATATAAATAATAAAAAAAATACAAACTAGCAGCACAGGTGTCGGCAACACGCTTCCCTTGGAGTGGCCTGGGAGAGCTTAGTGCGTGTTTAATGCAGCCGTTTGGCATCACTGTGTGTCTTTGAAACCAAGTGGAGATTCTCTGGATGCACAATAATATATGAAGAAAAAGAAAATAAAAGACAAATAAATGTGTGTTGAGTGCTAGTGTTACATGGGGGGTCTGGAAAGGGTGTGCTGGTTGCTTTTGTGCTGGATGGTGTGGTCACCCATGTGGTCCCTCGGGAGCTGGTCACGCGGGTGGTTGTGGCAGGTCGAGGCAGTGCTTAGAGGCATAAACCAGCGTGTGGGGGGAGAATCTGGCTAAAATTAGACCAAAGAATCGATAACTGGGAGTATTCTGGGTTGAAACGGCCCTTGTGGAGGTTGCGTGGTTCAGCTGTTCAGAGCAGGCCCCGTTCCATAAAGTTGTCCACGGTAGTTTGGAGTATCTGTAAGGCCGGGGATCTGGCAGCCTCTCTGCACTTCGGTTCCAGTATTTGATTGCTCTCTTAGCGCTTTTTTTTCTTTCTTTCCTAATAGCTGCTTGAAATTTCCCATATTGCAGCTTGTGTCTGTTGCTGCCCATCTCCTGAGGTAGCTCAGTGTCCGTTTTGCTTATTTGTGCATTACTTAGCTCAAAAGCTACCCCTTCCCAGYCCTATTAGCCTTCTCGTCTTAAGACTGAGACCAGTTCTTTCAGCCTCTACTCATACATAATATTCTTCAGCCCCCTATTTCAGTATCATTTTTTTTGACCTAGAGTGGCAAATAAGCGTTTCCCTTCACCTCCCTGCTCTGCTGCAAGTTTGGGCTGTTGACTGGTGTTCAGCTTCGCATCTAGGACCCTCAGATGCCTTTTTGCAAAGCTGCTTTCTAGCCCATTGGCCCCATCCTGTGTTGTTGCATGCAGATATTCTCTCTCAGATGCAGGACTTTGCATTTGCTTTTGCTGGGCCTCCTTGCATTAATATAGGGGTTATAGGTACTAGTTTATTTAATACACATTCAATACTATTTATACTAGTAGTATTCAAGCACTGGAAGGGGCAAAAGTCAGCGTGGTCGCTGGTAAAAGCAGCAAAGGAGCCCCAGCAGCAAAGTGGGGTCAGAGCTTCTGCCTGTCCTTGCCCCCTGGCTCTCCCGCTCTGTGTTTGGGTTGTGGTTCTTCCATTTGTGTTCATGCATCAGTTTCAGGGTCACTTTGTATTAATGGAATGATTTGATTTTAAAAACAAGAAGGGAAAAACTCTTAAAAATCAATGTTTTTCAATTTTTATTTCTCTCCTGCATTTTTTTTTTTTTTTTTTTTAATCTAGGTCATTTGACTAGTCTGAGTTAGAGCGCTGTCCAACAGAGAGCTGCATGGTTGTAATTAGGGAATCAGTCATGTGTAGGAATAGGATTGAGTGGCTCTTATTGAAGGAGGGCAGCACCTCTTAAAGAAGCTTCTCCACTATAATAAGAAAAATGAGGAAATGTGAAAGAAATCTTTAGGATTGTGAATTTGTTTCCTGATATAATGATACCTTTAAGCTTCTAATGCTGGTTTCTAATGTGATTTATTCTGCACTGCTTGATGCAGTGATGTAATAAATTTTAGGACCCTTGTGTTTTATATATGTATTTGTTTTGGTCTTTTGGTCAAAAATGAAAGCAGAAAAAATCATTTCATTCAGGTTCAATGTCAGCTGTACAATTCTTAGTTATTCTTGTAATCAAAGTGGATGGAATTTCATTACATATATATTTGTATTATGCACACACATATATATGTACTTATATACATATCTATGTATGTATATATGTAAAAAAGAATATAACATGTAGAGATTATATCATGTATTTTCATAAGCTAACATAGAGCCCCCAAACTTACCTGCAYGCACCTTGCTTTTTGCTTCTCTAATGCCCCAAATGTTTTACCATTAGCCAAAATAATGAATTGTTCTATTTTTTTTAGTGCTTTAAAATGGATCAGCCGTCTTGCTTGATGTGCCTGCTYGTTTATACCGTCCAGCTGAGACTATATGGTCAATTAAAAAAACTCCAAAACCTGCTTACTGAAAACCCTGTACAAAGAATTGCTCCATTTCTCCCATTTTAATACGTGTTTTAATTGTATATCTTCTTCTAGCTGCTAGCTTGTGGGGTCCATATAAAGACATATGGCAGACAGTGATGAATGCCATTTGGAAGAGGCAGCCCGAAGCCGTTCATCGCCTTGATCAAGTTCTAAAGAAGCACAAATCCGACTTCATTTCTCTCTTCAGAAATCCGGTACTGGCCTCGTGCTCTCTTGTGGAAAGAACTGCTGACTTGACAATTTGCCCTGTCTTGCTGACAGTCCTTTTCATTTCACGTTTTTACAGTAGATGACACAAATGGTTGCAGTCTTGCCCTGCTGGAATAATAAAAATAGCTTGAAAAATACTTAATGTTTTGTCCTGTGCATTATACATACATTCTTTAAAAGTATATATATTTTTTTCTTATTTAAGTGCTACTTTTAAAAGAATAGAAAAAGTATCTAAAGATCAATCAGTCAAACACCAGCTTTTGTTTTTTTCCACTGCTACTTTTGTGCGTCAGAAAAGAAGGGCAAAACTTTTTTTGCTGGTGAGGTCCATGCACATGCTCGTGCTTCGGTTAGTTTAGTCAACACGGTGAGTACAAGAGCACATGAATGTACAAACCATGCAAGATATCCATTTAGAAATGTGAGAGGATTTGGAAAAATTCATTGTTTCTTAACCAGTGGGTCACAGAGTARCAGTCAGAAGTATGTGTCCTTTTTGTGGAGTTACATTTGTGGTAGTGTGTTATTTTTAAGTCTAAGTCAGAAGATTTAACAGTCAAGTGTATTATTTTGTCAAAGTGTTTTAGTATTTGAGTTGCCTGGAAGAAGGAACGATGCAGAAAGTAGTACTTTGGAATGGAATAATGCAACAGCATGTCATCGACATTTGGGGTGTCTTTCACTGAGATGATACCAATTTCTGTTAAGAATTGTATCAACATTTCTTTTCTATCAAAATTTACTTTGTGTTGTTGTAATGCTGAGTAAACTAAATGTCASCACTGATTGTATAAGATGATTTTTGGGACATTCTCACAACAAGACCATTGCTGTGCAAGTGTATAGCATTTTTAGGATGCCTCTGAGTTTAAAAACACTGGCTTTGTTTTCATGATGGCAACTTAACCTGTCAGAATTGCATTTGTGAGGAAGGATTAGAACCTAAAGCTTTAGTCAGTACTTGATCATGCCATTCTGAATAACTTGTGTTGCTTGTTTCTCTTGCAGCCAAAGAATGTTCAGCAGCATGAGAAAATTCAGAAAGCAAGTACAGAAGGGGTTGCTATCCAGGGTCAGCAGGGAACCAGGCTTTTGCCAGAGCAACTCATCAGAGAAGCCTTTATCCTCAGTGACCTCTTTGATATTGGAGAGCTGGCAGCTGTTGAGCTCCTTCTAGCTGGTGAGGAGGGAGAATAGGGGCTGGAGAAATGCAGCCTGTATAGGGCCTTCTTTTTTGGGTTGTGCTTATATTTAAGTAGGTAACTGCATGAATTCATGTTTCAATCAAAGCCTTAGTTTTCTGTTGTGTAAAATATTCTTAAAAAGAAATCCATTAATGCTACTATTTAATATAAAAACACTGCTTGGAAAATGTATGTTCATATTTTATTCAGCTGTTGCAAAAGGAAGAATAATTTGGGGGTCATTTTTTCTTATGAAAAACCTTCTCTAAATATCATTCAGTTAGAGAATAGTTCAAAAATAATTGACTGAGTTGCTTCATAAAGCAAAGTGATAGAGGTTGTTTTTGCAAGTTCTGAATTATTTATATAGTGATATATGACTGAATTATATCAAAAACTGATTCATATAAGCATGGGAAGTGACACATGCTTGAATTGATTATTAAGATGAGTAAATATCGATGTGCAGATAGCAGTTGGAGTAGAATATTTATGGGCTTGCACTTCTATTTTTTTTTTTAATTTGTGGATATTTCTAGCAGCCGAAAACAAATTTTAATAATAATAGCACCTAAAACATGTATTTTTGAAGCACCTCAACCAAATCGAAGTGATGGTTATCATATCCAGATAATCATAGCTGACCTGAGTGTAATTTTTCTATTTTTATTAGAAATATAAGACTACAATCAGCATATGCTTTCAAATTTCTGAGACCATTCTGTGTCTTTTCATTCTATAGGAGAGCACCAGCAACCCCATTTTCCTGGCCTTACAAGAGGTCTAGTGGCTGTTCTCTTGTACTGGGATGGAAAAAGATGTATAGCCAATTCCTTACGCACCCTAATCCAGTCACGCCAAGGCAAGACATGGACACTGGAACTCAGGTCTGTACTGGAGTGAGCTAGTGCACTGAAGAGCTGTCTGTTTTGGCAACTTTTAGGACTGATTCAACTTCAGGGAGTACAAATACTCTCAAATTTGCTTGTTCTTTATAACCTGCTGCTAGCTGCATTTTTTTCTGTGTTTTTTTTTTTTAGCGTAACATTCTTCTTTATCTTACCTATGTTTTTAATGACTTATAAGAACATCAATTTTATTTTCAATTCATTTATACGTCTTCACTTTTTAGCTACGTTTTGCTTTGAACATCCTTCCAGACAAGGTAGCTCTAACTAGTGCTGCTTATTAGTATTTCAGAGACTCAGTTTCTACCTGTGCTATGTGGCCAGCATAGCAAAGCACAGGATTGTTTGCCTGCCTTGGCTCAAAATGGATGCACTATTTACTRGAGAGAATACAAGCATATGTGACCTTGTTTTGATTGTAAAGAAGAGAAGAGGCACCCACTGCTTACTTCTARTATGACTGCCTGGCTAGAGGAAGATGCTACAGTAATTGTTGCAATATAAATGCAAGCTCTATAGCGTAACAAAAATGATCACTTGAGAGCTATTTCCACCACTTCTGTAGGATATGTGTAACGCTATTTCTCCTATTCGGGAGAAAGAGGCACCTGCAGGCTGGGAGCTTGGCAGTCTCATGCATCTGGTGCATAAGACTCTGGTCCCTGTGCAGAAATTTTAATTATGTTGTGCTGGCCTCATTTTCCGAGTTCTTGAAACTACTGTTTCACAGAATTTTGTATCCATTCAGCATGTTTTGAGAGAACACTGTTTACTGATTTGTGATGCATGTTTAGTTGCTTTCTGTACATAATGTAATTATTCATCTTATGGCAATTATCAAATAAATTTCATGGGATTCATTATTTTAGACTCTTTGTGCTTGGGAATAGTTTGATTAATTATATTTATTTTCCCTCTAATGTAGCCAAGAGTTGATGGCCATGACCACACGCTTTACAGATGACCTCATGGAGCAGGGTTTGACTCAGAAGATCCTCACTCTTGTGTCCCATATTGATTTGAACAATGAATTCGATAAACTGCAGCGAGAGCGAGGGCTGGGCAGTGAGAAACATCGCAAAGAGGTAAAGGAGGAAAGGGGGATCCCTGTCACTGCAAAGATAACACCTCCTACTAAGAGATAGGGTGTAACAGCCTTTTTTACTTTCCAGTTTCTATTCTTTACCTTTGCAAAGCTGTGTTGATGTCTGAGGTGCAGTGGTAACTGCTCTGCAGCTTGTTCTATACCAGCGTGGGATCCAGGTTGCTCTGCACTTTTTCTGTTTCTCCACTCTTCTGTAATAGCAGAGTGTTCCCTGTCTTTAGTAAGGAAATATAATCAAGGACAGGAAGAAAGCAAATTAAAGTGAGCAGCGAGCACTGCTTGAAAAGGAGTTCTCATTTTTGCACTCCTTGCAGCTGACGGGGACCGTGGCTGACCGCAGAGTTATCTGTAGTAGGAAGATTTTCAACATTATTGTTTTAATTTCTGAGCTTCTTTCTAGTATGTGACCTTCCTAAAAATGATTATGGGATAGAATATGCCAGCTTGTTTTCCCCTAGATAAGGGAGGTCATTTAAATTTTTTGCTATTACTATAGCAACTCTGCAAAGAATATACTTGTCTTTGCCTTAAAACTCATTTAACGCTTAATGCTTTTAACGCTTAATGCTTTTTTTTTCTCCTTTTAGACTATCACCTGCAGAAGTCTTATCAGTATTTTTTAGAACTGTTTTGTGCTGGAGTTTATGTACAAATCAACACAAGCACTTTTACCTTTATCACTGTGCATGCAATTTTAATGGAAATAGAACACTCTTTTTTATTTTTTATTTTATTTTTATTTAACCAGACACAATGAATATGGGTCAAGAACTTTATTAGAAAGTGATGATTTAGCTAAATTCAATGATATCTCTAAGAATGACTGTGAAAGGTCATCTTAGTGACTTTATAAACAGATTCTTTACTTGAGCTACTGTTGTTTTAACTGCTTTTCAAGTTGTCTGAAAACCCAGTGTGGGAGGAGGAACAGAGTTAACAAATGAAATAAATATTTTTCTTTTCTTCAAAAGAGGTGATTTTGGTGGAAGTGTTAGAAAAACACAAACAGATTATTTTGAGTGTACTTAGTTTTACCACAGTATGCAATATTCTAGCAAATAATAAAATGAAAATCATATTTCTAGTATGAAAATGGTAGGCAGCTCTCACATAAGTTTTAGTATAGGAATATTGTAATTCGCTTATGTTTATATATTCAAGTTAATATGGATATTTTGTCTGGCTGAGCAAAAAGTGTTGATTTAAAATTGTTTAATATTGTTTAATGTCTTAAAAAGTCTGTGTTTATATAGCAAGGACATCTCTTGGGGGCTGGGAGAGTAAATCTTACAGCTATGACCTCCTTTGGTATATCTGTCTGTGCAGTTGTTATAATACAGACAGGAGGTGTGGCTTCTGTGTATGTAACATGTTTACAGCTATGAAAACTCTGTGCAGATTTATACCTCCTGACTTTCACAGAAATTCTTGTTTGCTTATAATGAGATTTGAAAATATCTGCTTTACTTCATGTGAAATACCAAGAATGTAATTGTATTTAACTAGCAGAAATACGCTCGTCATTGGTTAGCAATTAMACAAACAAAAAAGCAAGATTTCTCCCTAGCTGTTGTTTTTAAAGTCATTTTTAACTTTCACTGGCCATATTGATGCCTGAGGAAAACAAACTGCCTGTGCTGCCAGTTTGCTTTGCTCACGTTCCTGGTTTTGTTGTGTTCTGTTTTTAAAGGTTGCGGACCTCATCAAAGAGTGTCGGCAGTCGCTGGCTGAGAGCCTCTTTGTCTGGACCTGCCAGTCCCCGCTGAGCAAGGATGACACTCTGATCCTCATAAGTTACCTGGAGAAAGTAACCGTGGAAGCTGATGGCTCCTTGGATGCAGTGAACTTGTCTCTTCTCATGGCCCTCCTTTACTGCTTTGACGTCAGCTTTCTGGAACAAGGCACAGAGGATCGTGAAGGTAACGCTGGCAAGTTTCCCAGGGAGGTAGATCACTCAGATAAACTGTTACTTAACCAATTTTGTTACTACTACTACTTTTTTTGTTACTACTACAAAAAAAAATCTGTTGAAATTTATTATAATAAAGCATAACGTCTTCCTGGAATATGCACACTAAGGAACAGTTCTTTTATGCAGGGGAATAGAATTGTTTCAGTATCAATCTGGGTAAATCTTACGCATGAATACTATGACCATAATGCGACATAATGCGACAGTATGTGGTCTCAGATAAATTTACTGGGAGAGAGAGTGCCTGAACACATAAATGTTTTTGAGGAACTGCTGAGTATTGATTCTTCTATGCTTACTTTCGTTACTTGACAAGGTAGGTAAGGCTCAGCATGGCAAAGTGTATAACCTGKTTTGAAAGCAAACTTTACAGTATTCAGTATATTTTTTGTTTCTTTCTTTATTTTTTAAGATCTGATCCTCCGACTCCCTCTGCTAGCAGACAGGCAGTATATAGCAACAATACACACTCGCCTTCAGGAATCTCAAGCATGGAAACTGCCAGGGCTGCAGGCGACTGTGAGATTAGCCTGGGCACTGGCATTACGAGGAATCTCCCAATTATCTGACGTGACGGGTAAAGTAATCTAAAGTTCACTAGCTGCTACAGTTTAGTATTTAGAGCTTTCAAGTGCTGGAAATCAAAATACTGTGTGCCTTTCTGAACCCTTCCTGAATACCTTTATAATAAAAATGCTCCTAGCAAGCTTCTATAAGATTTTTGGGATATATGCTCAGTATATTTCAGTTTGGTTGATAAGAATGAATTGCCATGAAATGTAAACATATATAGAAATAATTTGCTACTTGTAGACATTAATACTGCACTGTGTTCTCTTGAAGTGAAAGTGGTATTTTAGCAACTTTAATATGATTTGAAGGCTTAAATTAAGAATGGTTTTGTGTTTATTACTTTTTGCCTCTGCAAAAGTTGATTTTCAACATACTGGGAGGACAGATCTGTTTGCTTTTTCTCCTGGTACTTTTCAAATTTGTCAGGTCAAAATTGAGACTACCACAAAATACCTTTTAAGGAAAAACATATATTTCATAACSTTTCTAATTAAGGGTAGTTCATGAGTCATAGTTTACAGCCTTAGATACGATCTGGCAAATGGATTATGCACTTTAAGTTGGACTAAAATTGGAACATCCTGTGTCAATATATCATTTCCAGTAGGGTGTTTTTTCTGTACAATGGAAAAAAAACATAGTTGATAGAAGCTTGTCAGTTTGCGAGTTAACCAGGTATTTTGAAACACGTTGAGAAAATCTGGTGTTGTTTTTTTGCTTGTTTTAACCTCCTTTTTTGTTGCCTAGTTCTTGCAGAGTTCACCGAGGCAGACGAGGCCATGGCAGAGCTCGCCATTGCTGATAATGTCTTTCTGTTCCTGACCGAATCTGTGGTGGGCTCAGAAAATTTCTACCAGGAGGAATTTTACATTCGCAAAATCCATAATCTTGTCACAGACTTCCTTGCGCTTATGCCAATGAAAGTAAGTTGATTATGGCAGTAGCACTGCTTGAGGAATTTGGATGTCTCTTCCAGATTTGTAAAACTAGGACAGGCAATATGTAGGTTCACATATCAGCCCAAGCTGAAGCTGCACTTCAGAAACTGGTATGGTTTGGAGGTTTATTTTCCCAGATTGAAGTGTTTTTAAAAGCAGATTTTACTTAAGCATAGTGAGATTTGCAAAGCAAGTTTTTGTAATGGTATTTCTGTTGTTCTTAGTGATGTACTCTGTGTTTCCTTTTTTTCTTGGATACAGACTAGTATAATCTAAATTCACTGACTTTGTCTTTTTTTAAACTAATCTTTTTCATGTCAAAAGAGAAGAATTCTCGTTTGTCTTGAAGGGCATAAGGTGCTAGTAAAACAAGCTGTGATTTTCCCTGGAACAGCAAAAACAGTGCAGAAGAGAGGAAAAAAAATGTTTGAAGCAATTATGGAAGTTATTTTTTTTGCAAAGCTTATATCCAGGCATTGAAAATTTTAATTCTATGAAAATGCTTTTGTTTAATTGGTAGAGATAGTTTGGTTAACTTCATCGTGGTGATTTGTTATSTGAGCTGTTAAATAAGCACTTTTCTCAATGTACAAAAAGAAGAATTTTTGTTCAGTGCAAACTGGCAGAAGGAAAACAATGTTGGCAGGAAAAACATTTCAGCCTTAAGAATCTTTCTGAGAATATCTCTGAACATGTTCTAGACAGCCTTTTGGTTACTTAGGCTGCTTAATATGTTAAAAAAACCCTTTCATCCCTTAGCACCCTACAATAGGCTAGAAGAAAGTAAGTAGTTTTGTCAAAGGCTTTTTGAGATTTTAAAAGAAACATCAGCTGTTCTTGTTTAGCTTTTTTTTTCTTCCATTTTTTACCAAAATATTCTCGGGCACTGCTTAAGGGACATCTTCTTTTCATTGTTGCACTCCTCTTTCCTCTCCCTTCACGTTTTAGCTATTGTATTTACGGACATATAATAATTTTAGCTATTGTATTTACGGACATACAATAATTTTAGTTGCTACTGACAACTTTCCCAAGACTAACATAATCACATTGGTCAAAACTTTTAAAAATTTCTGTAAGCAGAAGGAATCTTAAATAACTGTATTTTAAAAGATACACTCCACAGGTCTAAATATAGAAACTCTTATTATTCCACAGTTATCTGTTTGTTTTTACTCTATGGGGATAGTGTTTTAAATTATTTGTTTGGAGTCTAACTTTGCTAACTTTCTAAGTAAAAAGAGGGAAAGGAATGAAGCTTTTGGGGCTAATCCAGAGGAAATGATGAAGTCAGTAGGGAAAAGCTCCTGTGTTATCTGTTCAGGACTTTTGCTGTGAASTGACGGCCTTGATAAAGAAGGAAATGATTGAATATGTCTTTAAGGGTGGTCTCTGTAAAAATATTTTTGTGATCTGCATGGAAATTCAGTCGCTTTTTTATTTTTTGACAGACTGTTGGGCAGCTTGGCTATTTCAATTGCTTTGTTTCATTGTTAGCTAAACATAAGCCCTGTGTTTCTCCACGGTGTGAACTGTGCAGGTGAAGCAGCTGCGCAATCGTGCTGACGAGGACGCCCGCATGATCCACATGAGCATCCAGATGGGCAACGAGCCGCCGCTCTCCCTGCGGAGAGATCTGGAACATTTAATGCTCCTGGTAAGCTCTGTCTTGAAAATTACGTCAGCAGAAAAGGGTTGTGACTTTGCTGCTTTCTCAAATAATCCATATCTGAATGATAATGTACAGTGCTGTGTCTTGGCCTTTCTAATTAAATGCATTTTTTTCTTAAATWTGGACACTTTTCTGTGACTTTTCTTATAGAGTGATGAATTTACTGTTTTGACGTCTGGTATTACACAGAATCATGGATGGTTGAGGTTGGAAAGGACCCCTAGAGATCATCTAGTCCAGCCTCCCTGCCATTAAAAGAATGACAGTTTTCTTTTTCACATAGTTGATATTTTTCTGTCATCTTCCTTTCTTTGACAGATTGCTGAATTGTATAAGAAAGACCCCTTTAATCTGGAACTTGCTCTGGAATACTGGTGTCCATCGGAGCCTTTGCAGACATCTACCATCATGGGATCCTATCTGGGAGTGGCTCATCAGCGACCTCCTCAGCGCCAGGTTATCTAGACGTGGCAGTTTTCCATTTGTAAATAAAAGATACAATTTTCTTGAGTAATTCTTGGTAATTTGAAATTAAAGTTTTAGAAGTTGTGGGCTGAATCAATAAGAGGTCCTGTGATGGCAAGTTTGGCTGTGACTTTTATGTTTGTTTTGGTTTTGAATAGAAACTTTGGTATGATTTTGATATAATTGCTAGAGCTACCCTCTAACACAATGTTGTTGCCGAGTGTTATTGAGTGTTATTGAYTTAACTGCTTGCTGCTTGCTCCAAAGGAGCTACTCTGTCATTCATGGTTGTTAATAACTTAGTGACAAAGTCTAACCTCTTGTTTAGCCATGGGGCTACAGTTGCTCAGCCATTTTTGCCTTAGCCATATTCTGTATTTTCTAGCTGATGACCTCTGCTTTCTTCTTTGATGTAACTGAGAAGTAAACTTTTTTAAATACAAAAAGCTTTTTACATCGTATTTGAGAGAGTCATTAWGTGTAAAAATCTATGAGAAAATTTAATTATTTAAAGCCCAAGATTATAAGCTATGAGCGCCCCAACTGAAAAATAGGATCAAAAAGCAGTTGAAACAGATAATAGTGTTCCAAAGCTCTAGAAACGAGATACAAGATCAACCTTCAGTGCTTCCTGAAGGATAGGATTCCTGAAGGATAGAATGTGGATCCTTCCACAGGATAAACTGGACACACCTTGAGAGGCCCCTAGAATAGGAGCAAGGACTTGGGTTAGGACTTAGTGCGACCTGGAGTCCTGAGTTAGACTCTGGGAGGAGCCGCTGTGTTTGTGAATTGCTGCGTAGGGAGTGAGGTGCCAACTCCTCTCAGTCCCCACAAATCTTAACTTGATTGATTTCAACTTAAAATGATTTCACGTTTGGGGAAGGTAAAAAGCCCATTAAAAAGTTTTGCATTATGATATTTCTTTCCTCCATATTTGATTAAATTGAAATCTACTTTCTTTTGGCTGCCTGTTGTTTTCCTAAAATTGCTGAGATTTCTTTTTAATGTTTTTAATTTGTTCTAGGTTGTCCTGTCAAAGTTTGTTAGGCAAATGGGAGACCTCCTTCCCTCCACGATTTACATCCCATACTTGAAAATGCTGCGGGGACTGGCCAGTGGGCCSCAGTGTGCTCACTACTGCTTCAGCTTGCTCAAAGTCAATGGCAGCAGTCATGGTAAGAAAAGTCATGGGGAGCTCTTCCTCAGCTCCCTRTCTTTATGAAGTAGAAAATTATAAGGATTCAAAGGAGATGAATTTTGGTTTCTTACTTTTAACATTTTAACAAACATTTAATGAACGTATTAATTCATGATTAATATGAATTAATATTTCACTTGGAAATGTAACCTGGATGAAGCGACTGATGATGTAATAAAATGCCTGCATGTCCTAGCAAGGAACTTGCAAATAATGTTTTAATTGTTTAAGAAAACCTCTCTGTTTCTTAAGAAATATAAGATACAGAATATTGGTTTTGCTCAATGTAAAGTATAAAAATGAATCACAGCTCCAAATTAAGTTGTGTGTGTTGTAGGTAAAGTTATATTTCCTGAACTTGGAGTTTTTTTCAGAAGCATCTGTTACAGATTAAAAGTGCCACAGAACAAAGAAGGAGATGCTGGTCTGTCCTGGATTTCCTGTTAATTTTGCATTGATCTATATGGGAAAAAAAAAAAAAAAAGCCCTTTAAATATTGCAAACAGTGCTACAAACATTCTGATTCATAAAACAAGAAACTTGTTGGTACTGGCTTTTCTTACTAGCATCTTCATATCTCTACAAAAAATATCAGAACCTCTGCATTCAGAAACAGCAGCTTAGCTTCACCCTGTTTTCTCCTCTGGATAGCAAAGTTTCCTTTTTTAAATTGAACTATCCTCCTTTGCACCCTGTGACAGAATTAGGAAAAAAAATCATTATTATCTGTTTGTTGTTTTTCCAGTGGAAAATATCCAGGGAGCAGGTGGCAGCCCTGTCTCCTGGGAGCATTTCTTTCACTCTTTGATGCTCTATCATGAGCACTTAAGGAAGGACTTGCCAAGTGCAGACAGTGTCCAGTATCGTCACCTGCCTCTCCGAGGAATTACCCAGAAAGAGCAGGATGGATTAATTGCCTTTTTACAGCTCACCACTGTTATAATCAATTGGGTAGGTAATCTTTTATTTGTTTTGCTGTGTTAATACATCTTTTCTTGCAAAGTGTCATTTGAACTAGCTCTTCTGTTATGGTTGTATTTGTCAGTCAGCTTGGAAGTAAACATGATCAAAAAGGCATGCAGTGCAAATGCATCAGCAGTTATTTCATTTGATTTGGGACGGTCAGAAGCATAGATGGCATCAGGARTAATTGTCATGCCCAGAACAAAGTCACAGCATGAATCAGGGAGAAGTGAAACCTCTTCCTGCACTTCCCATGTKGCTGATTTTCCTTCTTTGCTCTGCTTCTTTGCCCACTTGGGCAATGTCTTTCAGAACTGAGATCTCTTTAGAAAAAATTACAATGGATTAGGAGAGCTCAAAGCATTTGTATTTAATTATGAAAATAGGAAATYAGGAAAGTTAGGAAAGGCAAAGCTAACAACTGAGTTTAAAGAAAATGGTAAAACAATTGCAAGGGAACTGACCAACTGTCAAACTTGCCTCTGGAGTTAGATTCAAAATATCCCCTTTTCTGAAAGTAAAATATACCAGAATTTTTCTGGAAGAGAAATTACAAGAGAATAAAGCTGCAATACAGACCAATTCTCTGCTAATTCTGCATAGTATCCTCTTCGGTTTACTCACCAAACCCGAYAATTTAACAGTTTGAAAAATACCCCAGCATAAAGGTTCCGTGATGCATGCAAAACCCTTTGGTTTTGCTGATGCAAATACAGAACAAATCCATGAAAATGATGAAGAGTTTTAGAAATAATCAATTCCAGTGATAATTCTATCAGTTATCAAAAGTGKTTTTTTTTTCTTTCCCTGAAAGCCAAATTAGTTTGTAGTGTAAGTACGTAAGCTGCTATGTCAGCATTAAAACTCATATTACTTGGCATTATCAAACAAAAACCTGGAAATCTGTGCTGGGAATGAAGGGAATTATCAATCGATAAGGCTGGAGGCTTATTCTTATCCAATGGTTCATCTGGGAGTATCAAGTGAGACTCAACCTCCCCATCCAAGTTTGAGGAGGCTGCCTAGACTGTGAGCTTGATCTTGCTTAGGACTATGGCTATGAATCCGTGTCTACTAAAACCGTGACGAGAACTTTATTGCACACACAAGTTGTCTGTATCGATAGAAACAATGTCAGTATAATTGTGGCTGTTTGTTGATGATGCTGAATTGTGAATTAGAGGTTGTAAAGCATTAATAATTTTGAAATTAATGATGTGTAATTGTATTTAATGTGCATAATTTCTCACTGTAGAGTGAGAACGCTCGCTTGGCGCTCTGTGAGCACCCTCAGTGGACCCCTGTGGTGGTCATTTTGGGGCTTCTGCAGTGCACCATCCATCCTGTTTTGAAAGCAGAATTGCTGGAAACCCTTACTGCTTTTGGAAAATCTCGTGAGCTGGCTTCTTCGCTCTGGCAGTCCTTGGAATACACACAGGTATTTGGGGATTTTACACCTTTCGAACTATAGCATCCCAATCCGATGAAATTGTTAGTGTATTTGAAATCTCTTTTATTTTTTAATAATACTGTCTTTTCTCCAAAATGTTCTTGTTTACGTTATTGAATATTGATTTTTTGTTTCATTTTGTCTTTTTTCAGAAATGAAATAKGACTGTATATATTGTTAATGCAGTTTTTGTTTATATTTTGATATTTAATATAAATATATATATACTATATACACTATAATATGACATATGTGTTATATAAATTATAAATTATAAATTATATTTATATTTTACATTTTTATTTTTGTATTTTAAAACAATTTTTAAAATGGCTGTATGTTTTGTGTCTCGAAGATCTGAACAGCCATGATTAGTTTAAATAAATACAGATTTTCTAAGTGCCAGTGCTCTGTGTTCAGCACTTCTGAAAACAAATTTGTCTTCTGCAACAAATGTTTCATTCATTAAATAATTTTATTATACTTTTTGTATAATGATATTCTTCAAATATGAATGATGCTAATGGAAGGAAGGAACTCTGTCTAAAAAGCTCCAGGCATCTATTTTTGAGAGGAAAAAGTTCTCTATAAGCTCAAATCTGCAGTTGCCAGATTTTACAATTGTGATGGCAATCRCCATACATGCATTGAAAGCTCCCCTTTTAAAAAGAGGTCATTTTTTCTTTTTTAATCTTGATATCAGAGAAGAATTTTAACTGTGAAACTTAAAGAAGATGGATATCAAATACAAATGCCCTCAGTATTGTTAATTCAGAAATCATAAGGGTTGGAATTATTTTCTAGTATATACTATGGTTCAAACTATTTTTTGTTTTCTTTGGAAGAACCTGAGGCACTTGCATTATGACTGCTGGCTTGCTGTTAATTATTAATAAAAAGACTCTGACAATAATGGTGTTTTATAAATAACAGTCTTTTAACTGCTCTCTAACTTTGCTTTCTAGTTATGTTCTTTACAATATAYGGTTGTAAAAGAAAACAAGATAAATGTCTGCCCCAAGTTAGAGGGGAAAAAAAAAAAAAGAAAAATCATTAATCTGACAGGATTTCTGATCTTTATTCATTTTAATAATAAACATGATGCAGATGTTTGAGGATGTAAAGCTTGAAGTGCACAGTCCAATCCATCTTAACTTCTGAGCTTTGCCCAGGGTTTAGGAAACCCCTTCTTAGAGCTAAGAAATGTTTACCTTTTAACCCTGGCAGAACTGGTGGAGGTGCACGTTGGTTTTGTGGARTGGATTTGTTGATGTGTTTTCTTTTTTCTGTCTCGAAGCTGTTGCAGACGGTGAGAACTCCGGGCCAGAGACAAGCAATTGGGGTTGAGGTGAGGCTTTCCCTTTCCCTAGAGGCCTCTCTGCTCATGTAGATACGGGTGCAGCCTCTGCATGGGCTGCAGCTCTCCTGCCTTTGCTGTTATATCCATGGGAGATCCTTGAAATGGGAGCTATGTTTTCTCTGCTTCTCAATTTATTCTCAAGTCTGCTTATAATTTCTGCAAATCTTACCCATTTATGAGCCTCTTTCAAGTAACAGGGCAGCATTTAAACCCTCAGGTTCTTTACGGGCACTTTTTATTGAGGTTTTCCATTTTGTCTCACTGTTTTTAATCATTGTTGTTTTGGACCACAGTAGCAGCACTCTCATATTGGAGCTGTATTTGCTACATCCTGGTACAGCTCGCTGCCTTCTTAATAAAAGGGGTAAATACAAGGAGAGTGCAGTAAAGCATTGGAGCAAACCTTCTAGGAACTCAGGAGCGAATGAATAGGGCACAGTTGGACAGAAACGACAGGGCTGCTGCTTCACTGCTTTTGTTTTGTTTGTGGCACACAGTGCCAAAAAAGCAGCAAAGCCAATTGCCTGTAGAGTAATTCCTAGCAGATACCCTTATTTCGTTTGTTCTTACATGTTTCTTCCGCCCACAAGCCTTTCGATGTTTTTTTTTCTCTGTTTTCTCTGTTCTCTCGGGCAGGTTGAATTGAATGAGATTGAGTCTCGATGTGAGGAATATCCTTTAACCCGGGCCTTCTGTCGGCTCGTCAGCACGCTGGTGGAGAGCTCCTTCCCCTCCAACCTGGGAGCAGGTCTCCGCCCGCCAGGCTTTGATCCCTATCTCCAGTTCCTCAGGGACTCCGTGTTTCTTCGATTCCGCACCAGAGCCTACCGGAGAGCTGCTGAAAAAGTAACTTTTGGTTGCAAATCCTTTCTTTTAAGATGTATCAACGTATTTCTAAGTTAAAATGATTTGGCCTTGCTCATGTGGCTTAGATCTGTTGTTGGAGAAGTTGTGCAGCTGCTTAATTTTCATGCAGCAGAGGTAACCTTGAGCAGTTCAAGGTGATTTGATTCTTTAAGCTGGTGCCTTTTTCAACTAAGGGGGTCATCAAGGTCTAGGAACTACTTCAAAGGAGTCTGCCAATGACTCCTTAAATTAGGCATTCTCTGGTAAGAATTATTAGAACCAGTTGGCTAAAGATTTCTGAACCCCCYTGAATCTCCAAGTCAGATTTGTCCTTTCCATATTGTTCCTTACAGGATATTTCTGACTTGCTAAACCAAGGAATTTCAGTTTGTTATATGATGGTTTTCAATGGCAGTGCATGCTAAACTCATCCTGCAAGTTATTAATTTTATACCTAATAAAGACTGTTTACTGCAGGTGGTCTTTAGTGTATTAGTATGTAATTATAAAACAGAACATGAAGTAGACAATTACTCTGTTGAGGATTTTRCTCCAGAAAGGAAGCTTGGTAGTTCAAATTATTTGACATATTGAATTACTATTGTTATGGGATAGTATTTTAAAATTAGGCAGTCATTCCATACTTCTTATCTTGTACATTATTAAACTGATCATTGTATTCTTTATCATCCTGGCGTTTTAATGAAGTATCCATCATATCCTGTGTCTGATTTTCTTTTCTTTTTTTTATGGTTATCTACAGTGGGAAGTAGCTGAAGCAGTTCTGGAAGTATTTTATAAATTGTTGCGAGATTATGTACCTCAGCTTGAAGACTTTGTGGACCAATACGTGGAGTTACAAGGTGAAGTTGTTCATTCATGYACTGAAAACAGAATTGTGACTTGCTCTGCTCTCTTACTTTTCTCTTGTGGTCTTGTAAATATTGTAAATAAGCWGATGAAAAGCTGGACCAAAACTCTTAGCTAAGAAGATACTCAAAAAATGACCATATACAATAGGTAGTCATGCTGCTGAGTCACTAGTGCTTCATGGAAACTCTTTCCTGCTTTTCTAGCTCTGCTTATGTGGATGGCCTTCTCTTTTTCCTCTCCTCTCTTGTATTGCAGGTTTGCTTAAAAACTGTCATTCTACACTTAAAAATGTTATTCTACAGCTTATTCCTCTGAGTTTCTTTGGTCTGTATCTAAATCTCCACTATATTCATCGTGTTAACTTAGAGGTGCTAGTGTATTTGATGTATCCTCTAGTATTAACAATATTCAGACCTTAATTAGAGCAGACATTAGCAGTGGAATCATGATTCTGAAACCATGCAGTTCCAGACAACTGTTCTTTAAAAGGGGCAAAGTAGATGGCACCTGCCTCACTGTAGGGAGTTTAAGGCTCATGTGAGCTGCACTTGTGCTGCAAGTCTTTTCTTCTGTAGAGCAAAGTTTCCTCTTAGCAGTGAATGCCAATCTGATGCTTGTGCCACAGCCTGAGAGTGCCATTATAGCCACTTCTTAGGTGATGAGCAACTTGAAAACATAGCTTCCCCATGACCTTGGGCCAGTCTGGTAATGTTCTCTCTGCTTGTACTTCAACAAACACATTTTGGCCTTGAGCAATCTCTGGCAGCTAATTCTTACCCTCACCTAAGGCCCATCATTGATTTGAATTCATGGTCAGATCTGCTTAGGGAGACTCTAACTGGTTAAAATTGATCCTGCTATCAAATTTTTAAGAGGAATGGTGATTGACACTACCAGTCTTCCCAAATTTTTATTAGATACCCAAATGTCTTATAGGTAAGGAAAAATTTTGAAGATCTTGTATGCAGTTTCATCAGTTGAGGTGTTGCATGCAGCAACGAGAGACCATGACTGGCTTAAGTAATGGAAGTCTTCTATTAGCTAAGTAGATTTTTTTGTTCCTTCTTTAGGAGAAGAAGTAATAGCATATAAGCCACCTGGATTCAACTTGATGTATCATCTGCTGAAYGAATCACCAATGCTGGAACTGATCCTTAGTTTGCTAGAAGAGGGGGTGAAGCAGCTTGATACTTATGCTCCATTTCCTGGTAGGTGCACTGAGTTTATTGTTCATGTTAAGTTTAAGTGCATCCTAGTTGGGAATTCTAGTGACATTACAGATGTTCAGCCAGCTCTTGTTTGTCTTGCATATAAAAGACAATTTTTCCCCACTATTTTTTGGGGGAAATTCCTTGAAGTAAACAACAACTGACCATTTCTGTTTTGCTGTAAGACTTGGTGAATGAGGTTTATGAATGTGGCCCATTTGTTACTTAACTGCTCTTATGTTTCTCATGTGGTTCTTCGTGCATTGCAGGGAAGAAGCATCTGGAGAAGGCTGTGGAGTATTGCCTTGCCCTTCTCAACTTGGCCTTGCAGCAGGAGACTGCTTTCATGGATCTCTTGAGGGAGAGCCACCTTTCCCTTATTGTCACGCCACTAGAGCAGCTGCTTCAAGGAATCAATCCTCGCACTAAGAAGGCAGATCACGTGGTGAATATTGCCAGGTGAGCAGAGAGCACTCGCTCGTGGGAGCGCCGCGGCGACTGCGTCCTGCCCCTTTGATTAGAGTTTCCCAGCTAGTGCCTCGGTCTGTACAGAGCAGACACCTGGGGCAGAGGATGTTTTTGTGGATGTGTGCACTGTCATGTCATGTGTACACTGGTACAAAATTGGGATCTGAATTTATTTTTTTTTCATTTTGAAATTATTTTTCTCACTATTTCTTCCAAGTTGCTCTATGTGTAATAATTTCCTCACTATTTACGCTTTGCCCCAGACTTTATCGTAGAGTGGGAGAATAAAATTTCATTTGGTGCTCTTGGCCAGTTTAATATTTTAAGGTATTGCTCATTAGTTGTTATAATAAGCACAAATCAAGCAAGCAATCTGAAACTCAGTTTCAGAACTGGAGAATTGTGAAACTTTGATTTCCACTTGCCACTGGCAACCTCGGCTGCTGCCCAGTTTCATGATAATTTTACTTACAGACAAGGCAATATTGATGAATAGTAGCATTGGCTCCATAAACAAGCGATGAAATTCTGGCATGCAGCAGAGTAGAATCAACTTCTCTCTTACCAGTTTTTATTTTTTTAACTGTGTTAAGTTTTTCATGTAACAACAGTTGGCAAGCAATTTTCAAGCGAAATAGTAACTTCTTTAAGATGTTCTTAAGTTTGTTTCTTGCAAGTCTTCGGTATATGCAGTGGTTGCTTTTAGTTTTGCTCTTCAGTGATGCTGACTCATTTCTGTAGCATCCAAAGATACGTAAGTTTCTCCACATTTCTTTTGTGAACGCTTGACCAGTTTAACTTCCTGCTGCATTTGAGGTACATGTTGGAAAAAAGAAATGAATGAAATGAATGAAAATCTAGTAGTGGTTGTCATCGCTGCATGTCACTAATGACAGAGGAGTGTTAGGTGCTTCATGTGCCATGAAATTTTGTTTGCAGCTTTAGAAAAGCATTATATAAGTGGATTTGCAATTATTTTAACTCTAAACAAGATATCTCTTGTTGTATTACTATCTTGGAAAATTAAAATGACCAACAATTTATTTACTTATTTATTTATGAAGGTACCTTTATCATGGAAACAGCAATCCTGAACTGGCTTTTGAAAGTTCCAAGATTCTGTGCTTTATTTCTGCAAATTCCAACATCCAGATAAAGTTAGTTGGTGATTTCACACATGATGAGGTAAATGCCAGACTGGGGGGATTTGAAAAGAGACAAACGGTGGAGAAATTCAAGTGTTCCATAATGTCTTAAATGATAAGTTTTTTAGATGAAATATATTTAAATTATATTGTGTTTTATCTCTACATACTCTATTTTCTGATATATTAAGATTTTTTTCTTCACAATATCTGTAAGGCTAATTTAGTTTATTGACCAGGTGTAGACTTTGGRGTTTTTTTTCTGTTTAGTGGCTTAGTAACTGGCCTATGCTTAAAACAGCCAAGACTCCAACGAACAGATTAACCTTTGTCTGGATTTTTTTTCTGCCTATTTGGGGGAGGTATGAAAAGAATTGTTGCTTTATACTCTTCTGCAATCTCACTTAATTTTTTAATTTCCATCCTTCCATTGCTGAATACAGAGTGTAAGTCAGAAGCTGATGGCTGGATTTGTGGAATGTTTGGACAATGAAGATGCAGAAGAATTAATTAATCCAGAGGAGGGTAAATAAAAGGCTTTAAAAATTCTTTACATGTTATCTTTTGCATAGAATGAAATCACTGGAAGTAGCATAAAGGGCATATGCTGCTTTTAAACCAGTAAAGCTTTTTTGTATGTGTCATTTTCTTTATCATGGTCCCATAACAGAAAGAAAATTAAGGTCTTGTTGATCTAAACTATAATCAAGAGCATGATCAATTAACCGAAAACTGAATCTGTTTCCCAATGCAAGTATTTAGCATTGTTCTTGTGTGTTGTTTAGAGCTGAGTTGGTAATAGTTTACATTTTTTTTTAATTTTAAATCTTGATTCTTGTGTACTGATATAAGTCACAGCCTTAGCTTTCTTGCATTTGTCCTCAGTGCTTTAAGGATTCTTCCAAACAAGCTGTGTCGTTTTGTTGTTCACCTGTCGTCTTTGTTCTGTTACTCAAGAGCTGGAGCCTGAAAAGAGGCGGGCACAAATCCATCATGAAACCAGGATCAATATTCTGAACCTGCTGATCACCTCCCTCGAGTGTAGTCCTCCCAGCCTTGCTCTGTATCTCTTAGGATATGAGCTGAAGAAACCTGTCAGCACCACAAATCTGCAAGACCCAGGTATGAAGAGGAAAAGCTCATAGAGCATTTATTCAGTTTTGGTACGAGCACTGAGAGGAAAGGAGGAATGCAAATGACAGAATTTTGATTTTAGTATTAAAATCTCTTTATCCCTTGGTTGTAGTGGCTGGAGCCTTTATGGGCAGGATTTAACAATTAACCATCTAAAGACAAATTAAGAACTTTCCTTCGAAATTGTGAAAGAAGTTTGCAATGAAGGTTCATTAAGAAGAGCAGTGCGACCCAGTGCCCTGTGCCCTGGGTGTCCCTGCTGCAGCAGGCGGGTTGGACTAGATGGTCTTTAGAGGTCCTTTCCAACCTCAACCAGTCTGTGATAGTGTGATTCATCCAGTATATTTAAAAACCAAAGAAAAATAGCCAAAAAAAAAAGCAATTAAATCTCTTTATAGAGCTTTTTATGAGAGAAAACTCATAAATAAGTTGTAGCTGCATAATTTGTCCTTGTTTCATCAGTGGCTCAAAAGCCCACAGACTAGCTATAGAAGTTAAGGGGTTTTTTTTAACCTTTTTTTTTTTTTTTTCTGAAATACAGTTCCCCCTTTTAATTGATTCAGAAGAGTATTTCACAGATAGTACAGCACAAGACTTCAGCGTCTGTAATCCTGTATGCAGAAGCTGTGTTTGCAGAATTCTAGGGTATTGTTTTTGTATTTTAAGGTGTCCTGGGTTGTCCACGGACGTGTCTTCATGCTATTTTGAACATACTGGAGAAGGGTACTGAAACAAGGAATGGTCCCACAGCAGTCCGGGAATCTCCTCATCTTGCAGAGCTGTGTTATCAGGTATTCAGGTCCTACTGACCTTCAATCACATAATTATAAAGTTATGCAAAAAAAAAGAAATATGTGGAATCTAAATGAGAGTATGAGCATAATGTAAAATGGAARTCTTGGTGAACCTGAAGGTTGAAAAAGACTTTAAATGAGCTGGACAAGCAAAAAGCCATGAGCTCTCTAGGTGTCATGTGGGTGAATAGCCCTGCGCTGATAGTTTAATTTTATTAATTCAGTGTCTTTTGTATATGACTTATTCAGCCATGGAGAAGCCTAGTGGGAAACTTACTGAGTACAGGCAATATAATTTCAGCAGTGAAACAGTGTTATGCTTCATCTTATTTGCTGGTTTGCTGGTTTGTTTTTTAAATAAGTTCCAGAAATGGATGTCCACTGTTTTTGATTGTCAGGTGATTTATCAGTTGTGCGCTTGCTCTGACACGTCTGGTCCAACTATGAGGTATCTGAGGACAAGCCAGGATTTCCTATTCACTCAGTTGCAGTACTTGCCTTTTTCTATCAAAGGTAATTCTGAATAATAGATAGTATTTGCTTAAAATTGAATGTATCCTTTGAATCCCTAGGAATCATACAGAAAACATATGCAGCATTATTAAATGAAATTAATTACTCTGCTGATCATCTAATGTTGTGAAGCTTCTTTTTAGAAAGTTCATAGAATTAATGCTGGACTTTTTAAAAAATATATGCTAATTTTGAGCACCATCAAGTCTCTAGGAGCAAATCCTAATCTATATTTAAATTTTAATGTGGTTTTCTTAGATCGTGTYACAGGAGAAAATGTGTGTTTTTGAAAGCTAATAATGCCAATGCTAGTAAAAGCTAAAGAAATAGAGAGCTGGTGGTTGGAACCACTTGCATACTCACCTTCCCCCCCSCACTTTTTTAAGAATAATTTGAGATATTACTTGGCAGTGCATTAATTTTTAAGTTTAGATTTGCTTTTAGATGATTTGTTACATATCTTAAGACTCTAAATTAGATGAAGATAGAACATTGAGACTCCTAAAGGCCCCAGTTCAAGCCTGCTCAATCTCAGTCAAAGTTGGGGTTTATGTTGGGTAGRTGTCTGATGGTTTTTAGTGAGATTACAGTTGAGCGAGGCGTGACATTCTCTAAGAAGCCTTTTCAAGCATTGTTTTGTTTTTGAAGAAGAAGAAAGCAATATTTCTTTGGCTCACATTGTGGTTGTTGCCCTGCATCCGCGCAGAACACGAGATGTCGGCCTTGAACCAGATGTCGTGGCTGATGAAGACGGCGGCCATCGAGATGCGGGTGACGTCGCTGAACCGGCAGCGCTCGCACACGCAGCGGCTGCTCCACCTGCTGCTCGACGACTTGCCCGTGAAGCCGCTCCCGGGTAGGCGCGACGTGCTGGGAAGGAGGGCGGGCCTGAGCCCAGGCAGGGGAGGCTGCGCTGCCTGGAAGCCTTTTCCCCATGGGCTTGTGACTGTTCTTTTCTGTTTTGTGAGAACATTGGTGGTACTTGGTCCGGAATTGCCACTGGAGGGGTGGGAAGAGAGGTGATTGTGGGGGAATCCAAAGCAAAAGGGAAAATGGATCATGTTGCTGCTCATCGCTACTTCATCTTTTAAACAACTCAATGTATAGGCAATGATACACAAATAAACATTGTCCAGAGAGTAGGAAAACAAAAATCTTTTTTTTTTTTTTTTTTTTTAATAATGATAGAGCTATGAAAGATTTTGTTTTGGGATACTATCCTGATTTTTTTTTATGTTTCCAGCAAGTGGAGGGTCTTCACTGCTGGACAATTTTAGACAAAGTTTTCTTTCAGTCTTAGCTTTGAAGTCTTTCATATTTTCAAGCGTTATTTTCAAGCATATTTTCAAGCTAGAAGATAATTAATTTGGGTATTACCCAAATGATTTTATTATTTTATTTTATATTTTATATTATTTTGGTTAATTTAGGTATTGACACTGTATTACTACATAAATGATCTTTCATCATAATGTGACTTGTGATGAAAGACAGAAAAGAACAGAATTCCCAAATTTCAGGACAGAGTTGAAGTGAGGTAAAAGAAATACAAAATAATGGTAATAAAAAGGTTTACATGAGGAAAATAAATGGAAGAATTGTAATTGCAGATACTGTAATGGGCTGTGGCAGCATGGAAGTTTCCCTCATTTTTATAGAACTGAATGCTCTCCTCATCSTTGTGGGGACTTGACTACCAGAAACTGGGTCCAGACTGCCTAATGGTCTTAAGAGTGTTTGTCCAACTACAGTTGCTCATAACTGAGCTTTTATGGGGGTATTTAGGCATTGACAGTCTTGTCTAATCTGTAGTTAATAATTGGCTAAACTCTGCTAACGATGTTTTGTTTTCATTGTGCTGTTAGTCAGGGGTGTATTTGCATTAATGACTTGCACATGGGAGGATTGTCCATGTGTGCTCTCTCAGTCTTCTCTTTCAGTATTGATGTAGTAGTTGGGATTTCTTTTTGCCTGAGATTTTGTGATTAATTATGTTTCCTTGCCTTCAGCTGATGGTGAAGGAGGGATGGAGGATGAAAGTCGGTCAGTCAGCGGGTTTCTSCACTTTGACACTGCCTCCAAAGGTAAGCAGCCTGGCTGAGTGTCTGGTACCTGCCATTTAGGCTTGCCTGTGGAAGGGACGCTTGGAAAAAAAAAAGTAGACTTTCAAAACATTAACATGGGACCCTTACTTAATATGAAAAAAAAAAAAAAAGAGAGATAAAGGTAGTTAGAGTGAGTAGGAAGTACTGGACTGGAAAGGAAGACAGGAGAGTCTGTGTTTAAGCATCTGTAGAAGAGCAAAACRGGAGGTGACAGTCTGTACATTCACTGGTAACAGTAACCACAGTGACACTGTTGCTAAGACTGAATTTGTATTTTTATGGCAGAGAATTTAAAACCCAAATGAACCCAGAAATGCATTTTGATTATTTATAGAGCTTTTTAGGTCTGAACAAAACACCTGCATGGTTTTCTTTGAAAACCAGCCTGCTTTTATTTAGGATCCCAGATTTAGAATCTTGCATTTGTAAATACTGGGTTAATAGGAGAATAATAGTTTATAATAGAATCTGTTAAGAAYTTATTAAGAAATTATACAAAATTTCTTAAACTGTTCGTATAGATTGATAGCACTTTCTGAAGAGTTAATGTTTTCTTCTGAACTTTTTCCATGGAGATTTGGATTTATCAAGGTTAGGCTCCTGTTGTCAGTTGACTCTTCCTTTGATGTTTCTGAACACAATCTGAATTGATTTACATTCCCAGTACGCAGGAAGATCTTAAGTATCCTGGATTCAATCGACTTCGGTCAGGACATACCAGAGCCTTTGCAACTGGATTTCTTTGACAGAGTTCAAGTYGAGCAAGTCATGGCTAAGTGTGAGCAGAAGAATGCACGGGGGCAAGTGACCTGCAGCACTAAGGTGAGCTGTGGTCTGTGTTCTCAAGTTGCCATTCATATATCTTGGCATCTTGAGAATATTTTTTTTTTTTAAAGATCTTGAATAGTTTGAAGACTTCAAATAATATTTTGAAACTTGTCTTCCCCTAAAGAATGTTGCTATTTCAGATAGGTTTATAATTTGTCTTTCTCCATACAAACTGTTTGGTTAACTTACTTTTTCTTCTGTCTTTCACACATTGATTTCTCATTTGTTCCAGACTGATAATCAGTTCAAGGACTTTCAGGAAGTACTTTCTATTCTAACTGTTTTTCCCATTTCAAAATTCCTAAGTAATATTCCAAAATATCTTCTCCTTCATATATTTCATGCGTGTTGTGGTGCTGAACTGTGTGTACTGTAGTAATTCTTTAAAGTTGCAATTAAGATAGTGGCACATTATGTTAGGTATAAATATGCATTAGCACATACATATAGCAAATAGTCCTGAAATTTTTGATCTGAAAGACAAGAGATCTGAAAGAGTAGGAGCAGAGTACAATGTAGAAGTGAAATGATCTTAATAGCGATAAGAACACAGCTATTGCATTACAGTAACCAGTAACCATTTCACATTGTAAAATATTTTTTTAGTCTTTAGAAGAAACAAATTCTTATTTCTGCCCAAGTGGAGATTTGAAGAGGAGAAGGTTATGGTGTTTGAGAAGAATTGATGAAGGTATAGGGCTACTTGGGACCAGGAGAGAAGGAAGCGAAAGCATGCAAAAAGAAAAAGTGCAGTGAGAGAGACTGGGCAACTAAAGTACTGCAATTAGAAAGTAAAACAGAACCTTTAAAATGAAAAAAAAATCACTTGGAATTTCAGTCGCTTCTGTTATGATAAAGTAATCTCAAAACCCCTCAAGGAGGGACAAATACACTTTCCTGGTGATTAATGGCTTGCTTTTACCTTTTCAATTCCAGCATCTTCACAGAGTTTTGATTGCAGAAGTCAACTCCCTTCAAGGAATGGCAGCAATAGGCCAGAGGCCCTTACTTATGGAGGTGAGGATAGGAAAATAAATTACTGTGCTTGTTCTTGATGGTTTTCATAAACCATCAAGCAATATGCATTACAATGAAAGTTTGTGGATTTGAGCCCTCAAGTTTGAATTAGTCATTTCTTAATTAAAACATTAAATTATTTAGTCATAGAAACTATTACTTAGCTTACTGCTCTTGAAACAATAGAACTGGAGAGTGTTTTCTTTTTTCTWTGATGCTTTTACCTCTGCATCACCTGCAACAATTGCAGCTTCCACGCTCCTGGACAAAGAGGTAGGACATGCTATCAACAGTCCAGTGTGTAACAGAAAAATTGGTCATGCTGATTTTCTCAGAAAGGATATTATTTTATACCTCTTTTCCTCTACCTAGCTCTAGTTTCCCTKCCTCTGAAGGAATGTTTTTTTTCTGAGGTTCCTACAATTTTTAAACTTTTTTGAATCTGCTAAATGGACTAGTAAATTTTTTGATAGAGAAGTGACTCATTCTAAAATGTCAAGAAAATGTGTAAATAGCTTGTTCTCAATTGCTTTTAAAATTCTGAATTTAAAGCATACATTAAAGAAAGATTTTCCCTCATTAAAACTGTTCTGTCGTGGGCTTGAAACATTCACAGTGAAAAGACCACGCAAAAAGCAGCTCAGAAATGGATTTGCCAGTCTGGTTGAAATGATTAGGAGCAGCCAGTTTCTGATAAACTGAAGATGTGCTGCTTATTTTTCCAAGACTGTTGCTGGCGGAAAAGATTTGTCATCCTGATACATCTTTGTTATCAGCTTCTCTTCCTGTTCCCTAACTCCCTTGCTTTGTCCCGGGCCCTTAGGAGATCAACACTATCCTGCAGTACGTGCTGGAGCGGAACAAGCTGCTGCAGTGCCTCCATGCCAAGAGGCACGCGCTGGAGTCATGGAGGCAGCTCGTGGAAATTATACTCACTGCCTGCCCCCAGGATCTCATTCAAGCTGAGGACAGGCAGCTCATCATTCGTGATCTCTTGCAAGATGTGCATGACAAGGTAATGCTCTCCTGGAAGCCACTGTGTTTTTGTATCAAAGGGAGATTAGTTGTCAAGTAACATTCTCGGTTGAAATCCAGAAGTGTCTGTTTCCATTTAGTTTTTAATTTGCTGTTTTCCGATCGCTGATTGGCTAAAACTTTAATGTGTTGGGGACAAAAGGGGTATTCTGTATTTTTTGCATGTCTGTTGTCAAACTATAAACCATATATTGACAGATTTCAAAAATATTGCGGTATAATCGAGTATGGTGATAGTCTGGAAAGGTTCTGTGAGAAGGATGCAGGTAATGTTGAGAAGAAACATGGAACAAATCACTGAGGAGAAGGCAGCAAAGAGCACTGCGTTGGTTCATGTAGTGCATTTAGATGATTCACTGCAGATCCTACCACTGCTTCGTAGGAAAAAATAAAAGGTTGAATGAAGCATTATCGTAGAACATGCAAAGATGTTTGTAATTGGGGAGGCTTCTGGAAATGAGAGGATCTGCTTTGTCTTAAAATATCAGAAGCCTTAAGTGCTGCACTTAACACTCCTACGACTGTGTGAGTTACAGTCATAATTTTTAAGACAAACTAGACAGTTACTAGTGACTGAGTCATTCTTAAAGACAAAATGTAATAAAGAATCCTTGTATTGTTTAGACTGATGGATCTTCTTTGTATATATATATGCTGTATGTATATATATAAGGTGTATATATATGACATGTATATACATATATAATTTTATTGTAAGAGGAATTTTGTATGTGGCTCTTCTGATTAAGCTGGATATTGAAAAGTATGTATTTAGATTTTTCAAAGAAGAGGTAACTTAGGGGGCTTTCTGTTGTAGTTTTCATTGTTTTCTTTTTTCCTCTATAAATATTGTAAAGGTAACTTTCTTAGTTGRATTGTTAGTTGAATGTTTGGGCTTTATGTGAATAAAATTAGAATTTGGGAACCTAGGGAGGCCTCTACTGGCCAAAGCAATTTGTTTGATTTCTAAGCAGAGGATTCAGGGTCTAAGCATTTTAAAAGGAAACTGAAAGAGATTGTGTTCCCAAATGAACAAAAATTCACTAAAACAATGCAGAAAACTATTGCATTGATCAACTGTATATGCTTAAAAGAAAAGTTCTTTGGTCATTAGCACTTTTGATACCAGGTTTACTGTTTAAATGATGATGTGAACTAAAATAGGGTGTGCTAACTTGGCTCTAGCGTTTCTCCCCACCTCCTTAAAGCTTCTTTGGTGCTGTTCTTTGCAAGGAAAGTCTTTATTTTTAAATATCTATAAAGCTAAGTGTGTGTTGGTTGTTCTTTCTCTAGTTCATTTTTGAGTATTTTAGAAGCAAATAAATGTTAGCACCTCTGGCATTTTCATTCCCTTGCTCACACTGAAATCTATTTCATTCCTACAAGCCATGGCTTGTAGGAATAATGACCAGAAGGCTAATGGGCTTCTCAATTAAAATGGGTTCCACTCTTCTTCCGGGGTGTGTTTCATGACTCTACTGGTTTTAATCCCTTTAAAATAAGGCCTTTTTCATTATTTTCTTCTGTATATGTGAATGAGATAGTTGAGGCAGGTTACGTAATTGCCTTAACATCCTGTGAAATGACACTTATTTTTTGCATTCTTCTGTGCTAAGATCTTGGATGATGATGCAGCCCAGGAGCTGATGCCGGTGGTGGCGGGCGCTGTGTTCACGCTGAGCGCCCACCTGAGCCAGTCAGTGAGGACGGAGCAGAAGCAGCCGCTTGTGGTCCCTGTGCCAGGGCAGTCCCAGTACGTCCTGATGCTCGATGGCTCTTTCACCTCATCCCCCGGCTCCGAGGGCATTTCCATGGGCTTYGCTTCCATCGGGGACTCCTCCCTCCACATCATCTTGAAGAAGCTGCTGGACTTCATTATGAAAACAGGTACGTGCAACTATTTGCTCTGTGCTTGTGTCTGTATGTGAGTGAATTCTAACAGCCAGGAGGTGGAAAGATGCACTGAATTGCTTCCCATTACTGAGTTGTTTTTTTTTTAAATCCAGGCAATTCTGTGCATCTCCTGTGACTGCCATAGATACCTCTATAAGCTCTGTTACTAACAAAAACAGATGTAATAAGACCATATTCTTTCCTTTTCTGTTATTTTTTCATCTAAATTGCAGTTAAAATAGAGGTGTATGGTATAAATAGCCATAAAATGAATTTCAGGTTGCCATTATTGCCCTATTTATAGAGTGTAAACTTTCTGTCTTTACTGTCATAACTACATTTTTATACAAACAGTAGAGCTCTGCTTTATCAAAACTATTTGATTATTTTTGCYAACACTGGTATAGGAGAGCTAACTTAAGAGTCATTGGAAGACAGTGTTAGGGACTTTAAGGCCACTTGGTTCTGATGATGAATATTTTTATGAGCAGGTGGTGGCTTCCAGAGAGTGAGGACGCACCTTTATGGATCACTGCTTTACTATTTACAGATTGCCCAGAGACCAGATGAACCAGACACTTTAGAAGCAGGTATGGTGCAATTTTGGGGGTGGGGAGAAGAACAAAAAATCTGTTGTTAAACCCAGAATTACAGGTACAGTTTAGGGATGCTGAATTATCTCTTGGAAGTAGGGAGATAATGTAGATAGAATCCATCTTCTTCCAGGAGCACCTGAAATTACTCCCTTCTAATGATGCAAATCTTCCCCTCTTCTGAACTGTCGAATTACATGTGTATTATAGATGTGTATGTTCTAGGTGGGAATATGAAGTCCTGACCTCCAGCACTGAAGAAGACAGGTAGTTTGAGTCCGTTGAAGAAGTTACACATAGAATGACAAAATTATCAAGAGACTGGGGGTTACATGGACCCACTCTAGGACAGTTGTAGCTGTAGAAATACAGTGCCCGCCACCATGGCACAGTGGTGGTGTTAGATAAACTTCAAAGAGTCTTTCACATTCTTTCTATTTATTCAGCTGAAGAGCCCTAGGAAAAGGAAACAAAAGAACTAAATGTGTTTTCCAAGCCRCTTAGATCTGCTGCTAAGCTGCCAAGATTGCTTATGGTGAATATTAGAGTCTCTCTTTATTAATGGCCTCAATACTGGCCTCATCAGCATTTCAGAAAACAGACATGGGTCGAGTGCTCGTGCGTGCAGCCTCTCACTGCTGTTGTTTAATTGACTTTTGGAACTGCAGCCGTGAAGCCACTGCTGAAGTTGTTGTGATCCCTTTATAGCTTCCTTCGGATTTGGCGCTTTCCCACTGAAATCACCTTGTCTACCTCCTCTCAGGCTGAGTGTTTTGCTCCCAGTGGAAGTTGTTAAGCTTAGTAGGTTTTCTCAATTGCATGTATAGTGTCTTAGAATAAATTTTAAGCAGATGGTTTACATGGTTGGTGCAGATGTTCAGGTGGGTGCCTTTTTGCCTTCTGGCTTGTGAGTCACGTTTAGCAAGGAACAGTTTTGCCAGGGAGACATTTGCACTTCAGATGTTTTTGCTTGTGATRTCTCTTTTTCTCAGCGTTACTATACCTAAGTGAATGCACGACAGTTGGTCTTTCCATTTTTCGTTATTTTTGTTTTGCTTGCCTTTTGCAGCTAAGAAAACAATGTGGGAACGTCTGACAGCTCCTGAAGATGCCTTCAGTAAATTGCAGCGTGAAAACATGGCAATTATTGAGAGCTACGGGGCAGCCCTCATGGAGGTGGTGTGTCGGGATGCCTGTGATGGTCATGAGATTGGCCGGGTAAAATATCTATCCTTTTGTAGTCGCTGTTTTGCCTCATTCGTAAAGCACTTTGCCAGTGTGCAGAGAGTGAGTCTTCATCTTACAAAATAAGAATTTTTAGGTATATACCTCTTCACCTGAACTTTCTTCTGCCCTTCTACATTTCCTCCAATGTGGTGAACAACTCAGACATACATAACAATATATTCATTGTTTTTCAAGAAAAAGCTAAATGGCCACTTGTTTAAAAWTAAGAACATTTTAGAAGGTCAGAAAAGTGTAAAGTAGTCGCAAAATAAAAGATGGTGCTTTTAGYATAAAAAAGTATTCTACTTTTAAGAAGCTGCTAGAAGCAACTTTTTCACCTTTTGTGTTAGGCATTTATAAGAGATCTCATCCATCTCAGTGTTAGATTTAGTTGATTCTCTTTGGGGTTTTGACTTCTTTTTCCTTTCCCGCGCGGTGGCAGATGCTGGCGCTGGCGTTGCTCGACCGCATCGTGTCGGTGGACAAGCAGCAGCAGTGGCTCTTGTACCTGTCCAACAGCGGCTACCTCAAGGTGCTCGTGGACAGCCTCGCAGACGACGACGTGACGCTTCAGAGCCTGCTTTCACCGCAGCCCCCTCTGCTTAAGGCCCTCTATACCTACGAGTCCAAAATGGTAAGAGCCCGTCAGGGACAAGACTCTGTTGCCTTTCAATCAAAGTTGCCTGTCAGTGCTTTGGCGGTGATTGCACTCAAAGGTGTTTGTTAAATAATGCTTATTTAGCAGATAGTTAGATGATAGTTTCACAAAAAGTGCTGCGAAGAGCAGGAGATGAAACCATCAAGGAAATCTTACTATTGCTCTCTGTTGCTTTCCCTTCTCCACGGTGCCCTAGGCCTTCCTCACCAGAGTGGCCAAGAGCCAGCAAGGGGCCTTGGAGCTCCTGCGCTCCGGCGTGATCGTGCGGCTGGCCCAGTGCCAGGTCTATGACATGCGGCCAGAAACGGACCCGCAAGGGTAAGTGGTGGCTCCCTCGCTGCTTTTGGAACTGTGGTGCAGTCTCGACAGTGGCTCTGTAGCCTCAAGGCGTTCATGTAAATATTTGCTTATATATTATTTGCTTTTTTGCCTGCATATTCTTTGCTTTTGTTGAACCTCTCAGTACTGTTGTTTAAAATTACCTTTTATTGACTGAAAATTTCTGGATCAGTGAGTGTGAAAATGTACTTTTATGTCCAGTTAACTGTAGAATGTAAAACCTTTCTTTTGTCTCATTTCTTATAAATGTAGCTCTTGTATTTTTGTTTCTTTCATTTTTAATTCAATTATTAGTTGCTGAAATCTTCAGTAGCTAAATGTAATGTCTGAGAAACAGTCTCTGCTGTAAATTTCTGTGTTGTTTCTGTGCTGTGTGGAGTTCATCTTCCCTCGTAAGGCGCTAAAGATATAGCAGTGACATCAACATAGATTCAAATAATTTCAAAATCTGGGAACAGTCTCACAGCCATATCCTGCTTGACAAGGTTCATGAGGTTTTGCAGTACTCTTAGTTAATGGGATGACTGAGAGAAGRTCACAAAGAAATTGCATTATTAGGGGAAATCACTGTGGTTAATAGTTATTTTCACACCTCAGTCCTCAGCTTAACTACACAGTTCTTTGACATGGTAGGGGTTGAAACATTTGAAAAATGAGACAAGTACTTTGTTTAAAAGAGCCAGTTGGTATATGAATAAGATAGTGGCTTGTTTTGCTTACAAGGAGATTGTAGAGGACTGCACTTATCAGTGGCTTTAGAATTAATTGTACTGCTTCCTAAAATATTTGGGAAGATTTATTTTTACATTAGGATTAGTAAAGAAGGGAGATGTGCTATCTCTGCCTCAAAGTAATCTAATTTAATGTAGTGTAGCACAAAGAAGCAATTTTCTGTGTGTAGAGAAAAATCTCTGACAGCAACCTTTTAGGTAAATTGCAAGAGCAATTGTATCCTAAATGTGTTATTTCATTCTCATTGTAAGCACAGCTTAACTACAGACCTATTACTGAAATAGGAAAGTCTGCAGATCCCAGAGCACGCCTGTAGGATGAGGCTCTGCTTTGCTGCCGGGCTRCAGGTTTCTTGCACCATTAAGTTTCTTCTCTTTTTCACCTCRTCAGGATGTTTGGCATGAGGGAGCCTCCCCTCTTCATTCCCGCTCCGGTGGAGCGCTATCGGCAGATTCTTCTCCCAGCTCTCCAGCTGTGCCAGGTGATCCTCACGTCCAGCATGGCACAACACCTGCAAGCAGCAGGACAGGTAAGTTCCAAAAAATAACAAAGTACTCTCGTTACTGTCTGTTCAACCAAACTGTACATCACCTTGCTCTGTCAGTAAGATCTTTCTTTAATAACATTTTCTCTGGTATGAGAAATTAATGTTCCCACAAAAGTCATTGGCTCTGTTTTACACCCTGCTAATTTTTCAGTCACTCATTTGCCTTTTTCTTCCTGTTGTGCAGGTGTTGCAGTTTCTAATTTCCCATTCAGATACTATCCAGGCAATCCTTAGGTGTCAAGATGTTAGTGCTGGGTCTCTCCAGGAACTGGCCTCCCTAACAGGAATAATCAGCAAGGCAGCTTTGCCTGGTAGGAATTACAATTCTAAAATCTCTACCCATTTGAATGAATCTGAGTTTCATTTCTTTAAATGACATATACTGGAATATCTGTTACATATAGAATTTTTTTGAGATCTTCAGCTCTGYGAAAATAGAGAAATATTAAATAATGGTTCTTGAAGCAAGTAGAGTGGCTTTGTAGAGGCTGCAGTGCTTATATTTTCCTTATCCTATCTGAAATAAATACTTTTTGTCTTCGAGGTGACTTAAAAGTAGTAGTGTGGAAAATGCATGYGATATCTTCAAAGAGATTTTTTAATTCAGTGAATTCTTAAATTAAGGAATCGTTTAAGACAGAAAATCGTTTGCATACCTATTATCCTTGTCACTATTAATGTTTTCTACATTTCAGTTTATTAAAAAATCTTCCAGAGATTTTCTTCTTACAGAGAAGCACTATAGAGTAGCCTAGTGGCATTTCTCTTGAGTGACTTATCTTTATATAAAGGATTAATTGTTACTGTGATGGATCTAGTGATTTCTTCTGGATGCTGGCAGTCTTGCTAACCATATCAAAACCACTTCTCTATATTGACCATGTAGCTTTCCTTGTTCAGGAGGGATGTCTGACTACAAGAGAGGAATATAGAGCTATAAGTCATGGCTAAAGTTTGTTTGCTTACGGTGTAAAGTGCTTTGCCCAACTGCCTCTTCTGTGTCTGCTGCCTCTCCTCAGCAGAGCAGGGAGCTACAGGCTCACGTGCATCTCTTAGGAACTGCGTTTAGATCTGGACACTTCTTTCTAAATAGCTGTGCCAAAATACAATGTGATAGAACTTGTATATATGACTGGGAATTTTCTCATCAACTCTCGTACTCAACTGCCTATAAAAAATATAAATCTGGATTATTTTGAAAAACAGTTAACTTAATGTCTGTATATTTTATTAGGAGTGCTAGGTGAGCTGGACATTGATGTTAACGAAGGGACACAGATGGAGCTTCAAGGACATATAGGCCGATTTCAGGTAATAAAGCTGTACATTTAACACATGTTCTTTTGGAATTATTCATATAGATGAGAGTTTCATCCTGGTTTCATACTCTGAATAGTTGCAGTTATGCAATTTATATTATTTAATTGATAACTGATTTAATTGATAATTAATATTTGATATTATATGTTTAGAGGTTTGACTGTGTTTGGGATTTCTATTAATAAATATGTATCACTTCTTTTCAAAATGGAAAGAAACATACACTTCCTTTGCTGAGGTTCTGATAAAAACGTTGGTCTCTCACAACAGCGCCAGTGTTTAGGACTCCTGAGCCGCTTTGGAGGTTCAGATAAACTGCGTCAGTTTAAACTGCAAGAAGATAACGCCGAGGSAGACAGAATGAACAAGAGGGATGAGATTGAGCTGGCCATGCAGCAGGTGAGGAAACAAGCTGCTGACGCCTTCAGCCTCCAATAGTGGCGTTGCAGCTGGCATGCTGATTTCTTCAGTCCCCTTACTCTTACTCACATGATTTTAGGGAAGTAAGACTCTGTACAGTCCATGTTTGGAAAGAACCCACATTTTGGATCTGTTTAAATCTTGAAAATTTGGTTAATTATATTTGCATTAGCAACCATTTCAATTTATTTCTAAAGTCTATCAATTTTGGAGTTTGATTCTTAACAGTAAGTGAAATCAGGCTACAGAGAGCAACAGACATCAGGAAGTTAGAGGCAAAGGGGAGTTAAAATTTCTGGAAATTGTAGCTAGCAAGTTCGGAAAAGTAGCCTAACATTCTAGGGAGAAGAGACAGAGCAAAAAATATTTTTTATTGACATATATCCATTTTCTATTGAACACTGCACACTATTTATTAATTTATTTCTTTACTAGATCTGTGCCAATGTGATGGAATACTGCGAGTCGCTTATGCTGCAGAGTGCCCCCACGTTTCAGCACACTGTTTGCCTGTTTACACCCAGCCTGTCAGAGTCCACCAACAGAGATGGGTCTCGTCAAGGTGAGTTTCTTCTGGCTCACTCTTTTATGACACTGAATGGTGACATTGGGGCTAGTAAAAAGGAATGTATCAGAGGCTGTAGTTTCATAAACACTGTGGCAGTCTCATGGCTACCTTAGACTGACCTTAGGCTGAAATAAATGCTCATGGAGACTTGCGCTAAGGCAAATCAGGAAACTAAGCCAAGTTAAAACAAATGTGGTCTAAAGCAGGCTGCTCCTTACAGCCTCAGAAACACWTGTAGAAGTTCAAGAAGGTGGATGTAAATAACTAGCATAAATTGGAGTAAAGGGAAGGTGATTTTTTTTTCCATTTTCAGCAGCTATGCTAGACTGAACCATGTGAAACTAGGGCTACATTTTTGACACTCAAGATGCATTTTGTTGCTTACTGGAAGTTTACGGTGTGCTGTGATGCAGCTGAGTGGTGGAGGCGCATACCCAGCATGTCAGCTGTGGCTGGTGGCCTGCAGAGGTTTCATGTGCTACCCTGACTGCCCTCTCCTCCTGCTGCCTCAGAACTTTGCTTGCAGACTTTCATTGCTATTGCTTCTGCACAGAAATAAACGTGTCAGTGCGTCTCTGTCTTTGACTAATCAGTGCCAGAGAGGATACCTTACTGATTTGTTTGTTTGTTTTTAATTAAATAGTGATTTATTGCAACTTGCTGCTTTTTTCTAGACACWCAGGCGCCCGTGGTGCCGTACTGGCGCCTGCCCGGGCTGGGCATCATCGTCTACCTGCTGAAGCAGAGCACTAGCGACTTCTTCACTTACTACGACAGCCATCGCCAGAGCGTCAACAAGCTGCAAAACGTGGAGCAGCTCCCGCCAGATGAAATAAAAGAGGTAACAGTTCTGCTCACTCGGCAGGTTTTATCCTGAAGAGGTAATGGTATCTGATGGATTATCTGTGTAGGTGGAGGCAAAGCCTCAGTAGAGATCCCAGAGCGTCTTAGGAAAGGAAATGGTCGCAGGTCACGTGCATTTTCCTTTCTCYTGTTGATAAAAAGATCCTAGTAAAGGGTGATTTAAAATCTAGGAGAAAATATTAGGCTTAGTTTTGTCACAGATATGATTCAATACTGGAAAATGTTGCTGACACTTTGGCACTGCTCATCGTTTATCTTTCTTGAATAAATAGATATAACATGTACAGCCTGAGTAGCTGAAAATTTTCTGTCAGTTTTTGCCAAGATGAAGGAGTTACAGAGGGAACGGATAGTTTACATGGAAGATGATGACTGTGGTGCTACCGGAATGAACTAATAAACTGATTAAGATCCTAAGTGAACTTGCTAGAAAAGATCTTTTCTTTGCTAGAAAATCTGCTTGGGATTACATTTAATTTCTTCTTTAATTTCTTTTAATTCTTTATTTTTTTTTTTATCAGTGAAGTTATCTGAGTTAAAATCRAGAGTGCACCAGTTTGGGGAAGTAGTAGCTGACAGGGCTATTAATAAGTAATTTTATTTGGTTGTTTTAACACCTTGTTCTGGTTCGCTGCAGTTTCCCCTTTCTCTTTTGTACCACAGCTGTGTCAGTCAGTTATGCCAGCTGGCGTGGACAAAATCTCCACTGCCCAGAAATACATCTTGGCAAGACGGCGCCTCGTGAAGCTCATAAACAACCGGGCCAAGCTGCTCTCTCTCTGTTCCTGTATCCTTCGACAAGGGAAATAACTCCCAAGACAGTGCTCTAGGAAAACAGAGAAATAGGATCAGGTGCTTTTTACTTACAGTTAGGYTGCTCACCACTTCGAAAACAGACTTTTTGTAGAGGGGACTTGGCAATATTGGTAGTTAAGTTAGTGACAGAGAGTTATTCTGATGTTGTAAGTATTTTCAATTTACTACAATGACTGCAAGAAGAGTGGTCATTTCCATCCTAYAGGCCCTGCCAGGACATTTGACAGCATTATGCTCAGGGAGGCATCACAGCCCAGCTAGTAAGTTTAATATCCAGGGCCACTTACATGTGTCTACGAGGGTGGTGCAAGAACTTGGGGGTGCCTCTTAGAGCAGCTGGAGTCAACAGCACCTTTGCTCAGTCCTGCAAACATGAGTAGTTTGATGGAGATAACTTGTCACGCACAAATCGCTGCCTGTAGATTTTCCTTTGAAAATGAAAGTTTTAGGAACTTCAGGAAAGATGTGCCCTTGCAGATATATCTGTTGTAGCTTAAGGTATCACTGCCACCCCCGGCTTTATCACCTCCTCTTTAATTCACAGCCTTGGTAACRACATCACAAATCTGTTTGGAGAGCACTTGTACGCTTGCTCGAGTGCAGGGTGCTGCAGGACGAGCAGCAGTCGTTTGAACCACCGCAGCCAGCACTGCACAGTGCAGGTCGCCCATTGCCACCTTTGCTTCAGCAGCACGGGGGGAAGCTTCTGCCCGGAGGGGTGACATCTCCAGCTGCTTCTTCAGAGTGGTTGTGCAAATAGCTCCTTTAGAAAGAGCACAGTGTAAAGGCAACAAGYTTAGACTCCTTCACTCCAGGTGTGTGTCTGCAGATATCATAGAAACGTGTCTCTTCATTCTGTGGCGTCACCTGGAGCACTATCTGCTGCACTGCACGCCCACGGATTCCCAGGACTCGCTGCTGTCCTCTAGGACATCATTTAAGAAAGGAAGGCTGCAAGGTAACAGTTCTCCAGTATCAGGGTGCCTTTGAATAGCTTCTCATAGCTAAAGGAAAACTGTTTTGCTGCTATGAATATTTTGCAATTTATATTTAACAAGATTTTATTTAGATTTGGACATACCATGGATTTTCCCCTGGAGTTCTGGAAATCCTCCAAGTATTGTTGACAGACAGACCTTGGGCTTCTTATTTATTATGCATAATCTCCAAAGAAAAGTGTAAAAAATGTTTTTTATTTCTCTTTTCCCAATAGGTGAAGTCAAGTGATAGAACTAGATCAGTGATGAAAAACAATGCATGTGAAAATATTTTTAATAGAATTATCTCAGATGAAATTAAGAGCTAAAATGAAGACTAGTGTTCTTTGAAAGAATTTCTAGAATTGCAGGCCCTGTGCTTCACCAAAAGATTTTAATGCTGTTGAATTTTGGTAAAAAGAAATAGGAATAGAGGTAAACTCAAAAGGTAGTCTGAGAATGAGCCTTTTAGTCTGATGATTAGAGAGAATRTGTTAAGTTGAAGAAAAAGAAACTGTTTCCATTTCTGATAATGTGAAGGTATATGTTTAAAACTCGTCTTATAATTTGATGTGGAGATTATGACGTTGCATAGCCAATATAATTTCTCATTTCTTGCTGTGATCTTTTGGTTCAGAGCCGAACTTGGATTTCAGCAGTGGTCTGAATCGAGTGAGCCAGCATGACATAGATCAGGTGGGTGTCACTTGCTGGAAGTTCAGCATGTTAATTGTACACGTTAAAGTGCATGTTAATTGGACAGGGAGAGCCAGCAGGAAAAAAAAAAATCTATTAATAAACATCATTTTTGGCAGTGCTAGCATTTCTACTCCTATTTTTGCATGAAAAAATTGGGCTCAACAACCTGCTTATTCTCAAGTACCATTCTTAATTATCCTAAACGGTAAAATCAGATCTATGTGTTTTTTATGATGTAGTTTCTGTCTTCATTTCGTTTGTTTTAAAGTAAAATGCCTAGTAACATGCTAAAATACTTAGAACATGATTGATTTTCCTSAATAGGCAAGTATGTATTAATGAAAAAATGTTGATATAAGAACATGGAGTCCTTAAAAGACTACAGAAACTTTGACTGGAATGGCTGTAGCTGAAAAAGTCAAGTTACAGAGAGTGTTTAATTCCTCCAATACTTGCAGAGATTGCGAAGCTGTAATATGTGGTTAAGCCCCAAATGCTTTGAGTGACCCCACAACATCTGTAGCAATGCTCTTCGTTAATGCGATTTAAGAAAGAAACATAGGAGAAGAATGCAAGTAGTATTTACTAGGGGAAACAGAAAGAGCATATACTTCTGAAAGCAGCTGAAAGAAGAATAATGCCCTGGGTAGCTGGGGATATATAAGAGGACATTTTAGAAATGGAAGGCTTTGTRTTGTTCACTGCAGCAAATCTCTGCTTTTCAGCTTCAGATTGAAGCCGCCAACAGTTTTGGTGAATCTCTGCAGAAGAAGCTCCTGGACATAGAAGGGCTGTATTCTAAGGTTCGCTCACGCTACACCTTTATTCAAGCTCTCGTTAGACGTATCCGTGGTCTCCTAAGGATATCAAGGACCTAAATGACTCTTAGACTTGTTGCTTGCCCCTTGAAACAATGCACATGGGGAAGGCTTTCCAGATCATTGGATTTTCTAGAAAATACGTTTTCTAAATAATGTGCAAAAATATTTTGTTACTTTTTTTTTCTTACTTCCAATCGATCAGTTTTGTGTATTCTTTGCTACTGCTCCCAAATTGACAGTAAAAAATAAAGAATTGTTTTGAAATGTGTTATGATTAATGTAAAACTTCATGCAAGAAAGAATTCTCGTGGAGGATATAAAGGAGGCAAAGGAAGGAAGTTCTGCAGTGTGATAGCATCACRTCCATGGATGTTTCAGAGAAAGCTCCAAAGGTCTGGGTTGGCTCATGCTCTTCATGCTCCACACAGATGTGATGAAAACGTGTTTCAGGTCTCGGCACTTGCAGGCAGGGTATGCCGGCTCCCTGCAGTATGGATTCTATATGAAAGGACATTTTGTYTTGTGAAGCTCCTTGTTTCTGCATCCCTTYCTCCTTTTTATTTTTATTTATTTTTTTTCTGAGTACAAGTTTCCTCCCTTTATATAATTTTAGATACGGAAAAAAACCAAAGGGCAGGGAGGGGAGGAGGGTGGCATGGAAGGGAATTTTCCCTTAGGCAGGGAAAATCTGGGACTCTACKGGGTTGACTCTTCCAGCGTGGAGGAGCAAAGGGCCAGAACAGGGGTACAAAGACGGCACAAAATGCACGAGGAGGGAGCGAACCTSCCCGAGCGGTGCCTTGTTGCTGCAGTTACGGGTTATTCTCCAAAGAGACTTTGATTCTGATGTAAAGAGAGCGATGTAAAGAGAGCGATGCAACCACTGCCTCCGTACCGTGCAGTTTGCTGYATTTCACTCTTATTACACTGTCTCTCCTTAAAGCTTCACTCCATGTGTGCACTGTAAATTCTCTCATGAATTTTCTTTTCTTTTTTTAGATAATTTTGTGTTTATTCATGAAATTCATATTTCATGAATACAACTCCCTTCTTTGCGGGCTGATTCTAGGCCTGCTGTCGGGTGATGGTTTGTTAGACCCCGCATCAGAACAGCCGGGTACTCATGGTTTACAAGGCCACGTTGTGGGCGTTGGTTCTCAACGGTTTCCTGTGGGCTCCCGCTCTGTGGCAATCCGGAGAGGATGCACAGAGCCGTTCTAGGGACGCTGCCGTTACCGGCGGGAGCTAACGCATTAACGCCACTAACGGCGGCAGCTACGGCCCGCCCTGCCTGCCCGTGCCGCTCCCCTGCAGCTCCCACGCGCCCCCGGCGCTGGGCACGGACACTCGTGGCGTTTTTCATTTTTTCTTTTCTTTTTYTAARTGTATTTTAATACGGAAAGGGGGTTTCGCTCGTTTTTATAGGGGCGCTTTGCGCTCGCGGGCCGCGGGGAAGCAGCAGCGCCGCTTCGGGGGTGGGTGAGGGCCGGAACGGCGGCGGGCCCCGACCCGGTCCCGGTCCCCGTTCCGGTCCCGGTCCCGGTCCCGCCCCGCGCCCGCCCCTTCCGCAGCACTGCCCTTTCCGCGCCGCACATTCGCCGCGCTTCAGCCCAGCTTATTTTCTTTATCATTTCTATTAATATCCTTTTTTTTTTTTTTTTTTTTTTTTCTGTTT